GGCGCCATCTTAGAGGGGAATTTTCGCAACTCTGAGAAGGCCCGCGGCCTCGATCACTGGACCTCAGGCTCGAACCTCCGAACGCCGTTCCCGAACTGTGATGCATGCGCTCGTGTCCAATGGCTCGGTGACATGGCCTTTCCAGAGCCGCCCTTTTTAGCCACCAGCCACGCTGAACGAGGCTTCCTGTTTACTGCTCTGGGACCTAGGGTTCGGAGTTTTCGGTTTAAACCGATAAAAACCGATAAAAGTATGCCGAATCCATTTTCAGAAATTCGGTTTTAACCGAAAAAGGTCAGTTTTTATGTTCGGCGTTTTCAATTTAAACCTATAAAAACCGATAAAACTTCGTCGAATCTATTTTCTAAAATCCAGTTTTAACCGAAAAAGGTAACTTTGACCTTCCAGTCGTACCGCAGAGCCGTGGCGAAAAAGTGGAACGACAGTGTCTATCGAAACGTGTCCGAATGCAATGGGATACACGGACGGCATCACGACGTTTTGGTTTAATGTGCGCATCATTGATCGGAACGTGAAGTCCGACTTGCACCATGACTTCGCGTGTATACGTGCGTGTTTTCAAACTCGTAAGGAAGACTGACTTGGTGCAAGCTCTGCATGTTGTGTTGTGCTTCAAAACGTCGCACCGTGTCTCTTTCGGCGATCACAATTGGTTGATTGGCCGATTTTGGCTCAGGCAGCGCTTCATCTCCTCAGCCTGCCAGTGTCCAGTGTTAGCGTTTAGAGGACGTTCTCGAAGCTCAGGGTCATATTAAAAGGAAAGAAAGAGTGCGGATCAAGGAGGAGAACCTGGGAAAGTACATGTGTGTGTGCTATAATGAGATCACGTATTCCTGATGTACAGAAGGTGAAGTTCCATGCTTTTTGGGCATAGGCTTCGTATCTGACTTGTTTCAACTTGGGAGTTTTTTTTTGTTTTTTTTTTCTTTTACAATTGCACACATTTGCCAAATAAAGTGTCCATTTCTTTTTCAATGTATCTGTACCGTTATTCTTTGAGTGATTGCAAATATCAGAGCTACGTACAAGGATCATCTGATCCGGTGTTCATTGGAGTTTATTTTATATTCATAAAAAAAAAGCCGATAAACTTTTGTGGGCATAAATATACGCCGGAAAAAACCGAAAACTGAATTTTAAAATAAACACCAAAAAAGTACGCCGAATTTTGAAAAAATAGAAACCGAAAACGCGGAACCCTAATTATATTCTAAGCGTACTTTATTTTGTTTAGTGATTCCAAGCGGAGCGTGTCTCCAGATCATTGAGGGTCTGCGGGTCACGCTGCTGGTAACTCGCTTTGAGCCTTAATCTCACGTGCCCGTGGTATCCGACACTGCACAGTGCGAGACCGCCCTAGCAATCAGAGAAAGAGAGAAACGAAACAAAGAAAAACGTGACCGGGGGGGCTTATTAAGCGAGACCCCTGCCACGACTCCATATTTCATCGTCGGCTGGCTCTTGCGGACCGCCGAGTCGGGAGATCGTCCAATTGGACCCTGGGGGGCACGCTCGCTTCGCGATGCTCTTCCCACACAAAAATTAGAAAAGAGAGCCGCCGCGAGACTGTCGTCGGAAGTTCCAGGTTCAGTACCGCTCCCGGCGCTTGCTCCAAGGCATACCGCGGAGCAGTAGCGCGAGCTCCCATGAGAAAAAATCAGGGGGACGAATACATCCGAGCGCTGATCTTTGATTGAAATGATTAGCTGGTAAGGCGCAAACGCTAGCTGTCTTTTTCTCGGTCCGCTGTCGTGCCGGCAATAATGCGAATGCTTATCCTCTCGTACCTACATGTACATTTCTGCTAGTTATCTGGCCTATAAGCACGCGTAGGTTCAGCTCTCGTAGGCTAGCACAATTTGTATATGTGCATTTCTACAGCGGAGCTGTTAAGGACTAGTTTCCCCAGTATCGTGCCCGTCAGCAAACAAATGATAAAACTAAACTCTGGACAGCTACCGTCATCTATGAGCGACGGCGGTAACCAGACAACCGGCTTACCGGTTGTCTGGTTGCCGCCGTCGCTCAAGATGGCGGCAACCTCGCGACTCTGGCATGCCGACTTGCGGCCGGCTATTACTTCATTTCCACCATAGTCCAGCTTCGCTAGTCTTCCTTCTTCACCAGAGTGGAAAGGCTGGAAGTTTTTTTATCTAGTTACTATGGACAGCTCGCACTATAGATACTTCTTGGGGGAAACGGATCTGTTGATATATTAACGAAACATCACTGCTATATTTCACGTTAAAAAACTGTAGTCTATGATATTGTACTATACATTCTATTCCCTCCGGTCAGGGTGAACAAGAATGTCGTCTGCTCATCGGGCAGTGTCTGACGTTCGAAGGCCGCACGCCGGCGTTCGAACGTGATAGCCAGGAAAGACACAGACACTTCGCGTCTACCCACTAACCCTTCCAATCAGAGCTCAGCGCTCCAACGCCCTCGCGCGCTCTCACCTCCTTTCACAAAGTTACTCACCGCATATCGCTCCATGGAAAGTCAATCGGCGCTTCGTCGGCCCTTCGTACGGTCTCACAAGGGGGCGTGTAGTCCCCATGAGCGCTTCGCTTCATGCTGGGAAAACTGCGACGCGGTCCACGAAACCGCGGTGCCATACGGTCGTTCCACTTTCGTGATCTTCCAATCGCATACCTATACGAACCCGGAAAACTAGTCGAAAGCGATCAAGATAAGAGGACGAGCGGCAAAGCATTTTCCTTTTTGTCTTTCCTCTCTCTCTGTCTTTTTCTCCTACTAACCATGCGTGAAACGTGTGTAAACTATGCTCGCATGTGAGTAACCCCAACCGACTTACAGATAGAAAAAGAGAAGATCCCATTCGAGGCATGCAGTCCCACGAAAGAATCGAAAAGGTCAGCGCACGCAGGCAATAAGAGGTAGCGATCCTGGGCGTGTTGTTCTTGCGTTTGTCAACAGAAACGGAATCAGAAAGGCAGAGACTTTCGTTACATGCATCCCCTGCCTCGAATCGTCGAGAGTTTGTGTTATATATATACACTTCATCTGCAAGAGAATGCGCAGCGTTGTGCCCTTCGTAGCGCCGCACGCAACACGCGAAAGGAGGCCTGCTTCTGTGTCCAAAAGCATGCGAAGTTGCAGGCTGAGACTGGAAGTTCCGCCTTCAGCGCGAGCTTTCTGCCCTTACTAAAACAAGTGTGAACGCGTAAGCACGCGCAACCAAAGCACTGCGGAAGCCAGCGAGCTCACGCTGAAGGCGGATCTTCTTGTCTCAGCCTAAAGCCTAGTTCACATGCAGCGGTTTTGGCCCTAGAGCGGCGCGATTTCTGCCGTCGCGGCGATCTGGCCAGCACCAGCGGTTGCGTGGCACGAGCGCCGCGACGGCAGAAATCGCGCCGCTCCAGGGCCAAAATCGCTGCATGTGAAACACGCTTTATAAGGGTGAATGGAGTCTATAGTGGGGCTCGCGCAGGATACTCGACGTTCAAGCACGCGCTCGGGGACAAAATTATGTTTACTCACTTTTGAACACTTGGGGATGACTTTTTGGGGTGATTATATTCGCATTGTCCCCAACGTCACGCTTACTGACAGGTTAGTAAACGTAGAGGCTTATTATCGTCACGTACCTCCTCTGTGATTGGTTCTTCAACGTTCTTATCGGCCAATGCCGTTACATGATCGGCTGCGGAGAGATAACAAGATGACCGGGCCATGCCCTCCGCCGGGGACCGTCGGAAGGCCTGCACACTCTTTTCGTCGTAATCCCAAGGAACCGACAGCTTGGACACGAGTGCCGAGTCACTGTTCGACTCTTGTCCACCCGCTCAGCTTGCGTCGTCGTAGTATAAAACAACGTTTGGGGAAGCGAAGAGGGTTCAATTAAACGTGTTAGTTCACCACAGAACTTACGGAGGCCCGCCTCGACCGATGAATACATGTCAAAATAATCTGAAGCGGTTGGATTGGACGATGATTAGTAAAAAGATGAGAGGGGACAAGCCCTGTCTCCTTGTCCCCCCCCTCTATCGTTGTTTGTATCTATAAAAACGCCTGCAAACTTTTTTTTTTTTTTTTTTTTTGTTCGTAAAAACATTTGTTTTTACGAACTGAATCGTGTTGATTATTGCGAACGTTTCGTTCTTGAAAATTCCGCCGGTCCCGTTTCGTCCGAGACGGGATACGCGATGACGTCGGTTGTAGCGAATCACGTGATGAGTCTTTTAGTCGCTGATATCTGTAACGTCGGGAAGCACTGTTCCAGGTATCCGTTTCAAAGTTCAGAAAACCACAACCCGGCGTGCGACCTGCACAGCTCAGCACGCGCACGTTTGTCGCTCCGGAAAGCGAGAAAATCACGCGCCATAACGCGCGAGCGCTGAAAATGTCACCAGCCAGAAGCTGTTGTCAGAAAAAAATAAAACTTGGGGACAATTTTTCACCTTCCTTTTTTTTTTGGTTATGATGTCAAATTTTAAGGCTACGGGAGCGTTTGCGTTCGCGCATCTTGAGCGGCGATTAAAGTTGCGCACGCGTATTGTTCATATCTGAATAACCACCGAAAGTGGTCCCCGGGTATAGAACTGATCATTTCGAGGGACCAAGTTATATCCAATTCCTTTGCCAGGTATTGGTGATCTCGCACTTCATGAAGCTCTCCTTGAGCATGCGCTGTAAAAAAGAACCAGCTCACATATCGTACCCATCGTCGCAGTCTAAAAACACGGCGTTCGCTGCAGGCATGAGGACAGAAGAACTATCTGCCGACACGTCTCAGGCACGTTCGAAGATTATTTTTCTTTATACACGCTTGGAACATGTCTGTAGACAGTGTTTGTATGACAAACATGCCTCAGACAGTGCCTTCAATTCAGACTGTCTTCTGCACGATGCCTTAGCGGCGGGACCGCGGCATCGCATTCATCTCAGGCGGGCGCTACAATTAACCCTTCCAAAGGTATGGTCAGGGATATAGAACAAGAAAACGAACTGCTCACCAGACAGAAAACCTCCTCTTGGGGGCAGAACCTTTCTTGGCAAGCCCCTCGCGCACGGAGAGGTGTCGTCGCTTGAACGCCTCCATGACGACGGACACTGTTTTTTGTTCGGGATTTCCCCACGAGGCTCGGAGCGACGAAGATCACGACGAACAGCGGAACAACACGAGAGAGACGGTTCCCACTCAAAATCGATGGCGCGGCGTGTGCGGTCCACCGCAAGACCGCTCTGACCTTTAGAAGAAGCAGCGGAACTCGCCGATGCCGTAAAGCCTGTCGCGTCGCAAAAACAGTTTTGACGACGTCGTCGACGAACGCGGCCGGTCGATTCGACAGTTTCAGATTGTGACCGTGGTAGATAAGAGCGAGGTCGTAGTTTTTTTGTTTCCTAACAAGCTTTTTTTTTCCCCCGATGTTAGAATAGATACACCGAGGCGTTTCTTCTTTTCCTTCTGTTTTGAAGACCTGCGCACGACTTACGGAGCACACGGAAGTGACCGCAGTAATCTCCGCTCGCTTATCGCTAACGTCGTCCGAATAGACGTTGATGTCTTCGCGTTCGGAGACGCCGCCGTGGTTAGTGGACCCATCCGGAAACCGGCGACGGATTTCATGTCGGACGAGCTTTTAAAGCGTGTTAAACACACCACCCCTGCGACGAGGAACAAACTCGAGAGTAAGTAATACCTCGAGAGAAGATAAAAACCATATTAAGGAAAGAAAAGAAATAAGACTCGGTACGTCGTGACGTGTTTCAAGTCGAGGCAGACACAGGTGTAGTGGAAGGAGATACGACGTAGCGGAAGACGTGGACACAACTTCGACGTAAGATACAAATGTAGCGACGTTGGAGGATTACTCAGACAATATCAACGCCAGTCGATGGATGAATCACAGACACCGATGCGTCGCTGTCAAATGGGCTTTTCCGGGCTCGACGCACAGCTGCTGAGGATCTCAATCCAAAGAAGAATAAAAATATAGATAAAAAAAAGGGTACGAAGTAAGACAACGTCCTCCACGTCGCACGAGTCGAATCACTCGGTGAAGTCGACGAACGAAGGCGTCGTATATCTCGCCCTTTTGAATCTCGAAGACGGGTGACTACAGTTCGACGAACTCAGGTCTTGGCAGGTCTTCAAAACACAATATATCAATTCCGCTCACGATGCAGCAGACGCTATTATTCGTCTTAAACCGAATTAAAAAACAGTTCGCGCTATTGCTGAGGTAAGTGAACAAACACAAAACACATGGTCGCGACTATGCCGAAGAGTATGTTTCGCACTGAACGGGTCCAGCCGGTGTTTCGGCACACAAAACGACGACGACGCACACCCAAGAGTGCAAAGAAGGACTCTATAGGTCACAACGACACCGGCACAAGTCACGATGCGTCGATCCACCGAAACGACGAAACTCTTCCCAACTTGGCACGCTCAGCTCTGCCTGTCAGTTTCAAGTCGGCGAGGACTGACACGGCCCTCACAGGACAGGTCGGAGATCACGGGAACGCGTCTTCGACAATCGAGAAAAAAAAAAAAAGTGGAATAAAACAGCACACCGAATCTAGCAGCACTCAGCGCGTCGAGAAGGGTGGATCTCAGCGTCGGGGCGACGTCGAATGACACGAATCGGTGTCTTCCTCGTCGACCGGTTCATCGGCGGCCCCAGCGACCGGACGAGGAAGCGTTGGACACAGTGTCCGGAGTGTCCCGGCGGAGGCGGGGCAGGTTCCGTGCGGTGACATCGAGCGCGCCGACGCTTCTCTCGGCGGCAGAAGCACCGCTGCGTGCGCCGACCGCTGCCGCAGCCGTCGCCGCGGTCGGGGAAAGCGGCGGCGGCGGCGGAGCGCGAACGATCGCAGTGCTCCTGGCGGGGATTCCGCGCGGTGCGACTCTTCTTAGCTGAAGATGGAGAGTATGCGGAAGAGGGGCGTGATCCGCTACTGTTTCATTTTTTGTTCGCTAAATTTTATTCCGCTCGTCTTTGATTTTTTTACTGAACTAAAAAAGATGCCGGCGTTGTCAGACGAAGGGTCGGGAGAGTGCATTCCGTACCGAAGAAAACGCTAAAAGAGCCAATAAATTAAGAAAAAAAGAGAGCCACCCACGCAAAGAAAGGCGTAATAAAAGAAAGAAACAAAGAAAGAAAGAACGAGACAATTTGAGAAGCGAGGAGCGCAGCTCTAGGCAGTGCCTGCGCTTGTTTACAGTTCAAAAAGAAAAATAAATTTAGATCGCGGAGCGTTTCTCATTTCCCCCTTATCTGGTGAATTGATTAAAATAGGTGCATGGATGTTTGAGACCCGTTATAACTATTTTTTTTTTTTTTTCAGAACGAGAACGTTTTAAACCTAAAAGGCATATTTTTATTATTTTTTTCCTCTGACAACAAAATCTTGTCAGAACTACTCCGCGCAAAATATCCAACTATGCGCAAGAAAAAAAAAAGAAAAAAGAAAAAAAAGTGTTAACACCTGCATGAATACTTGCATGCTCGCGTCGCCATTTGTCAGTTTTTGTGCGCACGTCGCATGATACTGTGATCTCCTCATTAGCATTCAACAAAAGAAAACTCTACGGAAATCCCCCCCGCGCTTCAGCTACGCCACTAACACTTCGAGAATGACATGGGAGAGGCTAATTACGACGGCGTCGTTCGCACTCGCGATGAGTTCGACTGTTCTATAGTCGGGTGATCGCGCAATTTCATTGGCTACCCAGTCATGACCAGATGACCGGGCTTACACCGCAGACGATAGGAAACCTAATCGTCTATCCACACATACCGACAGCTTAATAAAATGCCGGGCGCGGCTTATCGTACGTTCCATCCTCGTGGTTCGCACATCAACGTGTACTTATCAAATAATGCAGTGATTTCATTGGCTGAAAAATGAAAAGCAGATACTGGAGACTCACATGCACCACCTGCGTTTTTTAAATCGTCAGTGACTATAGGGAGGTCACATTACTCGTATGAATATGGCAATAAGCTAAAAAAAAGTTAAGACAGAATGCACGAACGATGGATTACATTAAAGAGACGCTGACGCCCCAAAAATAGTAATCTTTTTTTTTGTTATCTATAACAATGCAAGTTGTAGTCATAGACACGCCAAAAAAAAAAAAAATATATATATATATATATATATAGATGCAAGGTGACGGTAGAAAACAAACCAGGAGGATTTTATTCGACGTTTCGACCTGAGGCAGGTCCTCGTCAGGAATGGTATATATATATATATATATATATATATATATATATATATATATATATATATATATATATATATATATATACCACACACTCTAAGAAACACCTGCGCGTCTACTTACCCGCAAAACACTCAGAGAGCCGATCTCTGCGATCTGCGAAATCAGCTCAGCGAATGATGAGGAGGAACATCCGTTTAGACCTCACAATTAAGTCTGCGCTGTGGCATTACACAATGCAAGCATGACGCTTTGCATTGCGTAATGCCAAAGAGCAGACATCCTTTTTAGGTCTAAACGGATGTTCTGCCTCATCATTCGCTGAGCTGATTTCGTAGATCGCAGAGATTGGCTCTTTGGGTGTTTTGCGGGAAAGTAGACGCGCAGGCATTTCTTAGAGTGCAACGCGAAAACAAAAATTTCCCTACGCGCGCCATTTTATTTTCTCCCGCTTTTCACCTCCTCGCTTCTTTTGATTTCTGACGTCATATATTATGAAATTTAGAAGGTTTGTAAGCGGCATTTCTATAACATTTATTAACGGCATTCGTAAAACAAGTTTCTTTTTTTTAACGCAGTTGCGAACGCACTACGGCTTTTCTTCTTGAAATACCGAAAATCGGAGTCCGGAGTGATGTCGCCTCCTGGCTTTTTATCCTCCCTCGGAAAACATAGCGGCGCTTGACGCATGTAGCAGAGGATGATCGGCGAGCCGGGGAATCGGACGAAGTTCTCTTTTTTAGGTGCATGCCCAACGACCTCCCAGGCTTCGAAAAGGAAGTCGTCAAACGGCCGAAACAACTGGGTCTGTGTATCGTATAGTTTCAGTTAAGACTCCGCCGGGGTAGCCTTTCAGGTAGAACCGGCGCGACGTGGTACCTCACGTCACTCACAAAAGTGTTGGCGGGACGCCGGCGAACACAACACTTTGGGCGGCGGAGGTGCGGTGACGTCATAGAAACTCGATTAGCAGGACGGCTCAATATTTGACGTCATAGCACTGGCGCGGATCGCGCGGGAACTTCAAATTTGGCATTTGAAAACTTTTTTTTTTTTTTTTTAAATTTTACGAACACTGAATTTTTAAGCTTCATATTTTGAGGGGAATGTCTAGGCATCGTTTTCAATCGTTTCAGACAATTTAAAAATATATGATTTTGACGTGTCACTGCCCCTTTAAGGTATTTTGACATCGTTTTAGAGGATAGAAAAAGACGCCCTGACGTGGCGAAAATTCCTGTCGTCCAATTAGCCCGTATAAACGTGAAAGGTCAAGTTTGGCGACGTGCATTACGGTGCGCGAAGAAAAAACAAAAAGCAAAAACGAGTGCATTTTGTTTCGCGTTATTCAGTTGGAGATACCTGCGTAGCCTTGGGTTACGTACTTGCGTGATTTTTACAGGGCCGGTCTTCCCCCGTCAAAATTTCGATTACTTAAAAAACAGTTTGAAAAGCTTTCACATCCGCCATATATATATATATATATATATATATATGGCGGATGACTCAACATTAAATTTGTAAGAAATTTTGAAACATCACGATGAGAAAACTGAGCTCTATTGCAGTGCATTTGGTAGCCGTCTATCCTTATTTGTTCAATTGCTTCGCAGTGCATTTGGTAGCCATCTATCCTTATTTGTTCAATTGTTTCGCCTATAACAAAAAAAAAAAAAAAAAGCCGTTGTCAGACGCAGCTTTGCAGATTACCAGATATTGTTCGGCTCTGGCAGAGTTCGCAGTTTGGCGAAATGATCGTGAACAATGAAGAAAGTGAGCAATCACCCGAGAGGTTGGAACAGCAACAAACCGACGCGCGCTGTACGTTCATTTCCGGAGAGGAGTCTGCGAAGTGTCGGAACGAGACGCTCTCCAGTATCCGCTTTTGTTTTGCTCCGCTTCGTCTAGCCTATTTCATATCTAGAAAAAACAAAAAAGAAAAACACTTTTGCGGTTTGTGGTTCATTCCAATTGGCAGCAAATGCGAGTTTTGAGCCCACTATTCCCCGCAGTATGCTTATGTATTTGTATGTTTGTTTCTCTTGTATCAACCGCAATTGAAAAAAGCAAGTTGAAGAAAAAAAAAATGTGATGGGGGTGTTTGCGCGAGCTGCACTGGGCGATATTAAACAGACCTTGTGATATATCGAGTGATGTCAAACATTTCTCGCCTCGAGCAATCTTCTCCCTAAATTCGTTTTTTTCCCCCTTCCTATACATACAAATAAATAAACGAACACAACGCACGACGCGATAAATAACGTTCGGAATTGCTCAGTGCTTCACCACGAAACAGCGCGGTCGGTGTGCGCGCGTTTCCCCCAAAATGGCCTCATCGATTCGGTATTCCTCCCTCCTCGCCTCCCAAAGACGCGCACCGAAAAACGTAAAACGCGCGAAACCGACTTCGCAGAGCCATAAACACAATCGAGATGATGTAACACCCTGTACGGTCGTTGTGCGTCTTGTATATAGAATATTTCCCGCCGCGCGTAGGAAGCCACAATCGCGCGGAGTTCGATCATATATTTAAAATTCTGGGGGCAAGAAGGCGAGCGACATTTATATTTGTCAGGGCTCGGCTTATACGATATCAAACTGCACGGGTAACTGGTCTAACCTATATGTTTCAAAGCAGGTGTGTGGTTACATTGGAAAGCATTGGCTGCGCTTTTAATTTTTTTTTTCCATTTTTGCGTTGGAACCTTTCGTTCTAAATAACCACAACAAATAATTTTTTTTTTCGATTGTTGTTTTTTGTTTAATTTTAGGATGGAACGCAAAGAAGGCTACGCGCCATTGAAGCTAGTCGAACCTTCGAGGGTCTCATGGGTTGACACAAATGTGCGGTATATGAATGTATATCACAAATCACGGCAACATAAGTAGAGAGTTTTAAAATGGGAAGCCCCTACGCCTAGGGCTTTAATACAGAGCTTGGGGCGCCGAACTCCGCATGCGCAGACGTTCTGCGCATGCTCCGTGGGATGCCCCAAGCTTGTCGGGAACCCAAAGCGTTGGAGATGTGTCGTATGTGATAAAATATTGTATTCTTTACAAAATAAACAATGAATTACGCTGCCATGCCATTCCAAGGATTAAAACAAAAAAACTAAAGCATAAAAAGCGGGAATCACGTCGTTCCTCAAACCAGTATTCGGCCTTAACGATCTATATACGTTCCGAAGAACACATTAGTGGAGTCAAAATATGGCTCCGCTTCCGCCATGAAACGAGCCCAACGATACATAAATACACGCCTTCGAGAGCCGGGCAACCAGATTTAACCACCACCGCCGAAACGACCAGTTAACCAAAGCAACCGCAAAAACGGCAAAAAAATAATAGAGGAAAATACTAGACGTTATACATCATCGACACCCGGAAACGTGACATTGAAAACAGGAAGAAGCTGCAGCTCTTGCAGAAAGATGTCTTTTACAAACACACCGAAAAAAAAACAAAAAAAAAAACGAGTAGCGGTAAGAAACAATAAACAACCGTGACTTCCTCCACCGTCGTAAAAACCACGCAGCGTGAGGAACAACACTGCATAAACA